CAGACAGACAAGAGGGTGTGGGAGCCTGGGCAGACTGGCGCAGTCTTGATGAACCGGGGGACTTGAGGGGCCCGCAGTGTTAAAAGTGCGGCATCCTCAAGCGCTGAAAGGTGTGGTCCGGATAACTCAGCTGATCATTCATGTGGCCACACTCGATGAGTGAGTTTTGCCTTTCTCCTTGCTTCCTTTAAAGGCTGTGCTTACCTGCTACTGTGAAAGCCCCTTATAAAACCCTATCACTATACTTAGTATATTGCCATGGTTCATTCTCGAAACTAAAGGTACCTAGTACTGGAAGCAACTTGAATCATCCAAATGTTAAAATAGGGGCGGACTAGGCCAGAGTTTCAGCCTCTAGCTGCCAATTTAATGGGATTGCCCTAAATAAGGGCTCTTTCAAAAGATTTTTAAAATCATTTGAAGTGGTAAGCTAAATCGAAGAAGTGAGGGAAAACTAGAAGGAAAATGTCTCACTGAAGAATACAGACAGCAAGGAATTCTTGTGCTATACAAATTTTCTGAGTGCTGTGATGACCAGATTATAATCAATAAACTACCCTCCCCATTTATTCCAAGGCCATAAACTACTACTGACCTTAGAAATTCATAATGTGATGAAGGCTAACACGTGGCTTTAAACCGCCCTCACGGAACAGATTGCAATCACTCAGCTATTCAAAATGTCCTCCTGGCAGTGGCAGCAGGGAACACAGATCCTGTGCCGGCTGTGCAGCCTGAAACTCCCCTTTTCAGAGCCTCAGGCGCCTCTTAGTCAGGTGCCCTAGGATTCTCCACATAGTGCAGGAAAGCAGAATTCCAAGAGTCCTAGTAAAGGAATGCCTCAGCCAGTTAATTAAATAGGAGAAAGAGCAAACACTTGAAGCCAGGCGCCTAGTGTTAGAAGACAAGGCCCCCAAGTGCTTCAGCAGCAACTATGTAGGTAATTTCGGGGGCTTTGTAGTTACATTGTTTAAAAGAGGTAATGTGGATTGAGGAAATAGCTCAATTAGGACCTGAATTTGATTCCCCTGAACCCAAAAGGGGGGGAGCACTTTCATGGTGGCTTGTGCTTATATGCTGCAGAGACTGGCAGACCTCTGAAGCTCAGTGGCTAGCCAGACTGGCCTTTCTGGGCTAGCTCCAGGTCCGTTGAAACCATGTATCAAAAGCATGTATCCACAAAAAATGTATCCACACAAACATGTAAATGTGATAAATTTAAAACAAAACCAAAAAACCCTAAAAGTTGATCACATGCATGCTCATACACATGTATGTTCACCTATGTGCCCCCCCAACATATAATTTGTAACTAAAGTTGAGGGAGAAGAAAATGTGATCTCATTATCTCACTTCCTTGTCAAAAGGATGTTTAGCCAGGTGGTGAGGCAATTGACATAATTCTCAGAACTGGGGAGGCAGAGGCAGGTGAGTTTGCAGCCAGCCTGGTCTACAGAGCAAGTTCCAGGACAGCCAGAGTTACACAGAGAAACCTGTCCCAAAAAAACAATAGAAAACAAAACAAAAGAAAAAGAAAAGAAGGCTGTTTGGTTTTGTTTTGAGAGTCTCTCCTATAACCCAGGCTATCTCAATTTCATATAGTTGAGGTTGGCTTTGAACCCTCTTATCCTCCTGTCTCTACCTCCCAAATGCTAGGATTACAGATAACCACTACTCTATCTGGCTATTGGCTGAAAGACCTTTTGATGTGGTAGTGGTTACTGATTTCTCTTTTTGAAACAGGGTTACTATGTTGTGCTGACTGGCCTGTAACTCACCATATAGACCAGGCTGGCCTCTAATTCACAGATCTGTCTGCCTCTGCTTCCCAGGTACTGAGATCAAGTGCATTTGCCACCATGTTTGGCAACCTTTTATTTATTTTTATTTTAATTTAATTATGGGGAGTGTGTGGCAGGCATTTTTAGGGGGTCACCAACCAGCTCCTAAATCATGACATGGAAACTTATTATTAGCTCTTATAACAAATTAATCTGTTTCTCTTCATCTACATTTTGTTTTTTTTTTTTTTTTTTTTTTTTTTTTTTTTTTTTTTTTTACCTTTCTCTCATTCTGTATGTCCTACTGTGTGTCTAGCTGGCTGACCCTGGGTGTCTTCCTTTCTTTCTCTCTTCTCTCTCTTCCTACTTATTCTCTCTGCCTGCCAGCCCCCTCCTGTCCCTCTGCTGCCCTGCTATTTGTCTTAGGCAGGCAAAATAAAACAGCAACACATCTTTACGTAAATAAACAAATGTGAAAAATTAAAAAAGCTGTCGGGTGTGGTAGCACACACCTAAAAAAAATAAAATAAATAAATGTAAGCATCTTTACATAATTAAAGTAATATCCCACAACAAGCAGGGCATGTACAAATGCCACAGTGCTTATGTGGGGGATAGAGGGCAACTTTGGGGAAGCTCTTTTCTCTCTCCATGTTTCTCTGTGTCCCAGGAATCAAATTCAGGTCATCAGGCTTATGAGGCATGCATGACCCTCTGAACTATCTTACCCAAGACAAACTTTTTTTGTAGCTGTTAATTTGTTTTGATTTTTTCGAGATAGGGTTTCTCTGTGTAGCCCTAACTGTCCTGGAACTTGCACTATAGACCAGGCTGGCCTCAAACTCACAGAGATCCGCCTGCCTCTGCCTCCTAAGTGCTGGGATTAAAGGCATGCACCACCACCAACAACTGCCTCTGCCTCCTAAGTGCTGGGATTAAAGGCATGCACCACCACCACCACCAACAACAACAACACCTCCCAGCTCAAAGACAAACTTTTTAAACCTTTTATTTAGTTGTATGTGCATGTGTGGTGTGTATCACAGAGCACATATAGATGTCATAAGACTATTTGCAGGAATCCACTGTCTCTTCTACCTTTTAGGGCCCAGGGATCCAATTCAGGTGAAGCTTGGCAGCAGGTTTGGCAGATGGTACCTGCTGAGCATCCTGTACCACATCCAACATGGCTCCAGAGACAGACCGGACTCTGGCAGAGAGGCAATGAAGAAAAGACATACATAGACAGCTGTGATTGGGTGCTGTAGGCTCTTAGCTAGAGGAACCGCAGGGTTCTGGAAGCTAAGCATGTTTATTATGTAGAGTTGAACAGAGAAGTGGAATTATTAAGTACAGATGACAAGGGGGCAGGGTCCATGGTGTACAGCTGGACTGACGAGATAGGTTTAGCTAATCTCATAGGAGCAGTATCTGTAGGAGAACAGTCTTCTGGACATAAATGTTGGGGTGGAAGAAACCACATGGACATTTTCTGCACACACAGTCAACACCTGGGACCCCTGAGGAAGGTTTTGCTTTGCCTATGGACCTCACTTTGGGGTGAAGGCTTTGCCATGATTCCATGGATCTGAGGCTCTGTAGTCCTTAATGTGGCTGTACTGTTGTCAAAAGCACACATCCACTCAAAACTTCACTCAGGGCTTTCTCCATTTTCTACACTTCTGTAATGTGTATGTATGTATGTAATCCTGAGCACGATTGTGTGTCAGGCAGTCTCCAGTCAGCTATAAAGAAACTTTCATTGAGTTAAGTTCATGTAGGGAAGGATGGAGGGCTCTTTTCCATATCCCTTTAACATTTTCCTGTCTTCTCTCCTTCCTCAACAGGTGATGTAAAAACAGCAAAAAGGTAAATATAATCATAAGAATTCTCGTTCATATTTAGTTGTTACCTTTTTTTAAATATTTTATTTATTTATTATGTATACAACATTCTGCTTCCATGTATATCTGCACACCAGAAGAGCGCGCCAGATCTCATAAAGGATGGTTGTGTGCCACCATTTGGATGCTGGGAATTGAACTCAGGATCTCTGGAAGAGCAGTCAGTGCTCTTAACCTCTGAGCCATCTCTCCAGCCCCCACCTTTGGATTTTTTGAGACATCATCTTGAACTGCAAATCAGTTGATTTGGAACTCACTCTGTAGCCCAAGCTAGCCTTGAATTTGGATCTTCCTGTCCCAAGTGCTAGGGTTACAGGTATGAACCAGCAGCACCCCTGGCTGCCTTCCTTCCCTTCACTTCTCTTCTTCTTTCTCTCATTAGGGGTGGTTCGAGCTAGGCAAGTGCTTTATCACTAGAACTCACTGTGTAGCCCAGGCTGGCCCTAAGCTGTTGGCATTCTTTCACCTGAAACTTTCAAGTATTGGGATTACAGGTATGAGCTAGCATTTTTGGCTTCATTTTTGGAGACAAGTTCTCTAGCCCAGTCTGGCCTCAAACCCCCTACATAGCTAAGGATGATACTAAACTGCCAATCATCCTGCCTCCACCTTTTGAGTAATAAGATTATAAGTGTAGGCCACCACACTGCTGGGGATTGAACCCAGGGCCTTATGCTTACTATGGCAACAACCACTCTACTGACTGAGAAGTGTCTCCAGCCCCTTAGGTGACTTGGTTGGTTGGTTGGTTGATTAGTTTTTGTTTTTCAAGACAAGGTTTCTATGTAGCCCTGGCTGTCCTTGAAATCTGTAGACCAAGCTGGCCTTGAACTCAGAGATCCACTTGCCTTTGCCTCTTGAGTGCTCTGATTAAATGACTTTTTTTAAATGAGAAGAAATATTAATTTTGTTTTCACAAGCACAATATAAATTAAAACTGCTGGGGCTAGCTGGGTGGTAGTGGCGCACACCTCTAATCCCAGCATTAGGCAGACGCAGGCAGATCTCTATGAGTTTGAGGACAGCCTGATCTATAGCACAAGTTCCAGGAGAGCCAGGACTACACAGAGTAACTCAAAACACACACACAAAAACAAACAAACATACAAACAAAAATACTGCTGGGGCTGGAGAGTCAGCTCAGTGGTTAAGAGCACTTGTTGCTCTTGCAGAGGACCCCAGTTCAGTTCCCAACATTCACACAGTGGCTCATAATCACCTGCAACTCTAGTTCCAGGAGCTCAAGTGTTCTCTGACCTCTAAGAGCATCAGACAAGTGCTTTATCCTCTTAACCTCTGAGCCATCAGAGGTAATAAATAAATACATGGAAACGTTATCTTTTATCAGACTTCTCCCCTCTAAAAGCCTTCTCTTTGACAGGAAGAGGGAGCATGTCCTCCTTGTCACACTACTGAAATCACTCAGGCATAGCCCCATGATCCACTGGTGAAACAAGAGATAATACAAGACAGAGAGCAATGCCACCACTACCTCACTTATGTCTGGCTGAGTCATCCCTGGCCAAGAGGGTACCATCTTGTGCAAAGTGGGAGGGTCAGCTACACACTTTTGATCTCCGTTTATTTTCTTTTCTTTTTTAAGATTTTATTTATTTATTATGTATACAACATTCTGTTTCCATGTATATCTGCACACCAGAAGAGGGTACCAGATCTCATAACGTATGTTTGTGAGCCACCATTTGATTGATGGAATTGAACTCAGGACCTCTGGAAGAGCAGCCAGTGCTCTTAACCTCTGAGCCATCTCTCCAGCCCCCTTGATCTCCATTTCTTAAAAGGCTGCAGCAGGATAATAAGTTTGAGACCAGCCTAGGCAGTATAGTTCCTCAAAGTGAAGGGGTGGTGGTGAAATGGGACTTTATAGAAACAATCACTATCAGGGAGAGACAACATCATCAGAAACTGAACCTAGAATGACTTGGTTTTTATATCCCATTGGTCAAAGCCAGGTTCATATCTGAAGGAGGCTAGGAAGGCAAGTATTGGGAGAGGAAGGGTTTGTTCTAATTTACCCCTGGGAACCAGCATTGAGTACTTTTCTTCTCTCATCTGGAAAGAATGGGAAGAAGGGTCATCTTAGACGTTTGCTGTGGCTTAGATATGGAATGTCCCCCAGACACATCTGTGTTGAAGGCATGATCCCCAGCACTGCACCATTGGATAATAGTGGAACTTTTAGGAGATAGGAATTCATGGAAGGAAATCTCAGTCAGTGGGACCTGTCTTTGAAGTGGATACTAGGATATGGCCCCTTGTCTTCCTGTCTTTCACTTCCTGGCTGCCATGACCTAGTTCTGCTAGGCCTCAAAGCACTGATGTATGGAAGCAGTTGCATCACCAAAAAGATCATCCCAGTATGGGAGAAGTCCCACAGAAGCTGCATGTGCACCCCACCTCTCTCTCTCTCTCTCTCTAAATGTTTAACAAATATATAGATAAAATATAGTTCAAGTAAAACCCACTGGCCCAGGAAATGGATCAACAGGCAAAGAGTCTGCTGCACAGTGTGAGGACATAACTTGATGCCCAGGAACCACCTCAAAGTTGGGCCTGATAGTATGCATCTGAAAGTCCAGTGTGGGAAGAAGGAATTGGGGGAGAAGTATCCCTAGAGCTCTCTGGGTAGCCATTCTAACTGATCTATGAGCTTGGGTTCAGTGAGAGACCTTACCTAAATAAATAAGGTGAAGGCTGGCACCTCTGGCCTCTAAGAGCAGCTGCATTCATGTGTATATACCCACACAGAACTTTTTATATTTTTTATTAATTTATTTATTTATTTTGGGTTTTCAAGACAGGGTTTCTCTGTGGTTTTGGAGGCTGTCCTGGAACTAGCTCTTGTAGACCAGGCTGGTCTCAAACATACACAGAACTTAGATTAAAAAATAAGTAAAAAGAAAGGTAGGAGCTGGAGAGATGGCTCAGAGGTTAAGAGCACTGACTGCTCTTCCAGAGGTCCTGAGTTCGGTTCCCAGCAACCACATGGTGGCTCACAACCATCCGTTATGAGATCTGGTGCCCTCTTCTGGTGTGCAGATATACATGGAAGCAGAATGTTGTATACATAATAAATAAAATCTTAAAAATAAAAAAGAAAGGTAAAGAATGGGTGTGGTAGTGCACACCTTTAATCCTAGCACTTGGAGGTAATACTGTGAGTTCCAGTCTAGCCTGGTCTACAGAGCTAGTTCCAGGACAGCCAGAAGTATTTATTACACAGAGAAACCTTGTCTTGAAACCAAAAAGAAAAGGAGAGAGGGGATAGAAGGAAGGAGAGAAAGAGAGAGAGAGAGAGAGAGAGAGAGAGAGAGAGAGAGAGAGTTTCCAGGGTCAGGTAGCATGGCCAGCACTTAGGGAGGCAGAGGCAAAGGCAGAGGCAGATAGATTTCTGTGAGTTCCAGAGACAGCCTTGTCTGTATCCAAGACAACCAGGGCTACATAATGAGACCCTGTCTCAAAAACAAAAAACAGCAACAAAAAGGAAAAAAGTTTCTAACACATATCTCTCCTCTTTTTTCTTGCCTAGAATGTATAACAATGACAACCATGATGACAAAACACCTATGTCATAAGGTATGGATGGAAGAAAGTAGAATCGAGGTCCCTGGGACATTGTGGAACTACAGAAGCCTGGGATTGCATCATCAGTTTGAACACGTTGGTAATAAACTCAGCGTCATCGACAATGTGCCGGGTCTCATTAGGGAAGGGAATTAAAGCACTTCCCCTTGCAGTCATTTAACCTAGAGTGAGCCCAGGTTTGAATTCTCTACTTCACTCTTTCTGTGTCTTCCATTGTCCCTTATCCGAATCTGTGCTAGCCCTAAGTGCTGTCTTGGGGTCTGCCCTTGCATCTGTGTGCCTGTGTGTATCTGTTCCTAACAAAAGCCTTTGCTCCCTCTCGTACTGACCAGTACAGACAGCATTACACGTGAAAACATTGAAGGACATGGCACAGAAGTCTTAAGAGTGTTACAAAGAATTAAGTCCCTGACCCAGATAACAAATGCTAACAAGCAATATCATAGGCTGTGTCAGCATGTATGGTGGATATTTGTTTAATGAAGTTTGCTTTCTAGCTGGGGGGGTCAGGGGTGGAGGAGTGGATCACACCTTTAATTCTAGTACAGGAGGCAGAGGCATTCAGGTCTCTGAGTTCCAGGCCAGCCTGGTCTACAGAGTGAGTTCCAAGACTGCCAAGGCTACACAAAGAAAGCCTATCTGGAAAATAAAAATAAAGTTGCTTTCTGCCTGTAGTCAGTCTTTCTTTGGACTACCAGCCCACAAAAAATGACATGGAGTCTGGACAGTGGTGGCACATGCCTGTAGTACCAGCACTGGGGAGGCAGAGGCAGGCGGAGGATCTCTGTGAGTTTGAGACCAGCCTGATCTACAAGAGCTAGTTCCAGGACAGCCTCCAAAGCCACATAGAAACCTTGTCTTGAAAAACAAACAAAAAACAAAACAAAACAAAATGACATGGAAACTTATTATTAATTATGAAAGCTTGGCCTTCAGTTTAGACTTGTTACCTGCTAGCTCTTATAACAATTAACCTGTTTATACTAATCTACATTTTTGCCACATGGCTTTTTACCTCTTTCCCATCCTGTACATCTGACTTGTTCCGTGTCCTGCTGGTGTCCTCTGTGGGCCTAGATTCCTCCAACAGTTTATTTCTCTCCTCAGAAGTCCCAACTATTCTCTCCTGTGTAGCTATTGGCCATTCAGCTCTTTTTTTTTTTTAATTTTATTTATTATGTATCCAACATTCTGCTTCCGTGTATATCTATCTGCACATCAGAAGAGGGCCCCAGATCTCATAGCGGATGGTTGTGAGCCACCATGTGGTTGCTGGGAATTCAGGACCTCTGGAAGAGCAGTCAGTGCTGGAAGAGCAGTCAGTGCTCTTAACCTCTGAGCTATCTCTCCAGCCCCCTCAGCTCTTTATTAAACCAATCACAGAGCTACATCTTTTACACAGTGTAAACAAATATTCCACATTTGTCTATTTGCTGTTTTCAGCATTTACTACCATGACATACACACACATGCACACATACACAAACACAATATGCATTACCCATGGGTCAAGGGCAAGGAAGAGTATATAACTGAAGATTTAGGTTGTAAAAAAATGATTGTATGGGGCCAGGCAGTGGTGGTGCACGCCTTTAATCCTAGCACTCAGGAGGCAGAGGCAGGTGGATCTCTGTGAGTTTGAGGTCAGCCTGGTCTACAGAGTGAGTTCCAGGTCAGCCAGATTTGTTACACAGGGAAACCCTCTCTTGAAAAAAAAGAGAAAGAGGGAGAGATGTTCATTGTTTAAGCTTTGTGTTCTAAATAATTTTCATCTAAAGTAGTGAGAATAATTTTTGGAGACTCTACAGTACCAGTGTATTTATTTTCTCTTCACATATGTGTAAGCCCTTTTTGGCTACCTAGTTTTCATATGTAGCCAATCACCCCAAAGCTTACTATCTTAAAACAATGATTTATAAAAAGAAAAAGTATATATAATTTCTCTTGGTTTGGTGTGGCCTCATCTCTCTGCTTACTCAGCAGCTGCATTCAACTGGGAGGTCGAGAATAACAGATGTCTTGGGCTTTTGTTCTGTTGGATGAGATGCGGTGCTTTTCCACATGACCTTTATTTCTCTCCACTTGTTCTTTTCTCCATTGTTAATCTAGCTGCAGCTTCTTTGTAGGGTGGCTTGCTTTTAAAAGAATGAAAACAAAGCCACCAGGCTTCTTAAGGGCTTGACCTGGTTCTGGCATGCATGCTCTTCTGCTTCAAAGAGTACAGCAAGAGCTTAGGAAAGGCTGCTTTTGCTACAAAGCATTGTCTTGGCTTAGACTCAAGGCTGAAGGCACAGGGATAGGTCATTGTCCAACACCTGCAGTCACCTTGTGTTCCAGGAAGAAAAAAGCCTTTGAAGACGGGGAGGCCCCTCCACCAGATCAGATGAGGGCAATGCTGCATCCTGGTTCACAGGTAAACTTATAGAAACCCATGATTCACAGATTAACAACAACAAATTATCAGGTTAGCAGTTTACCAACTAACTGCCTTGCAGGACTGGAGCTGAGACAGTGATGGACAGGGCTACTCTTGACCAGGATTCTTAATTCTGCATATATTTTTCTTCCTGCCCCAGATCTCTGCTTACATCAAAGCTTGTATAAGTACCGTGAGGATAAACTAGGAGTCATGAACTCCCTTTATGTGTTCCTTTGCCTGCTTTACACCATTATTCATGCCTTAATTGTTACATTGGGATGAGTGACCTCGCCTGATTTGTTAGAGCTGCTGGAGCTGAGGCTTCTGCTCTAAAACTCCACTTACAACTTGGGTGAGTCACAGACCTTGCGACATCAGCATCAGTAACAAGTAACCCTAAATGCATGGGAAAGATTGAAGGGTTCCATACAGATGTTGAGATGACTTATATCACTTCTTCTTCCTCCTCCTCCTCCTTTTTTTCTCCAGACAGGGTTTCTCAATGTAGCCTTGGCTGTCCTGGAATTCACTATATAGACCTACAAGCTGGTCTTGAACTCACAGACATCTACCTGATTCTGCCTGGCAAGACTTTTTCTTCTTTCTACTTTGGCCAAAACCTACTGCTTTCTATCATCTGATGAAGCAGAGAAATACATGTTTGTACTCTGAGGGTTCTAGAGTCTGACTCTGGATAATTTCCCTGACTTGGTGCACTTCAAGCATTGCCCTTGCTGTCCTGGTCAGTTAGGAGTTGTTTTGAACTTTTGTACACCTGCTATTTGCCCTGAAATACTTTGTCTTTGAAGACTCTTTTGCTCTGGGGAGCTTTTGAACTATTGAGTATCTGCTGTTTGTCTAATAGGCCTTGTCTTTGGGCTCTTTTGAACAATTCTGAATTCATTTGAATTATTTGGGAGTCTGTTAAGGTGCCAGGGAAGCTTGGATTCTGTAATGTTCTATAGAAAGTGTTATGAGAAAGCGCCTGGGGAACCTTGGTGGATTCCATGGCAGGCAAGGGTGACTGAGGTGGAGGGACAAACATGGCAGGCAGACAGAGCTTAAGTGAAAAGTTTTGTTAGAAAGGGGAGGGAGGGGGAAGGAAAGAGAAAAGAGATAGACAGAGAGAGAGAGAGAGAGAGAGAGAGAGAGAGAGAGAGAGAGAGAGAGAGGACAGAAGAGAGGAGGGAGACAGGAAAAGTTCTGTCTGCCCCAGGGGAACAGCAGGAAACAGAGCAGGAAAGGAGAGTGGGAAAGAGAGCATAAGTGGGTGGAAAGGTCTTTCTTTTAAAGGCGTCCTTTGCATCTGCCTGAGTGCATTTTCCACATGACAGACCAAGTTAGGGCTATATAGCGAGACCCTGTCTCAAAAGCTAATACCCCCCACCCCCCAGCTACCTACTGGAGCTTCACAACTGAGAATTTGGGTAAATATATTTTCCATTTACACCCCCTTAATTAGCAGTGTCAAAATAAAAGTGCAATAAAAAGGCAGTTGAGCAGTGATGGTACATGCCTTTAATCCCAACACTCAGAAGGCAGAGGGCAGGCGGATCTCAGTGAATGCAAAGCCAGCCTGGTCTACAAGAGCTAGTTCCAGGACAGCCTCCAAAGTCACAGAGAAACCCTGTCTCAAAAAACCAAAACCAAAACAAAACAAACAAAAATAGGGCAGTTGATACAAAAAAATACCACTTGTTTCCATTGAGTGTATCTCGGAGCAGATACAGTGTTAAGGATAGCATGTTCTTCTGCCCAGTGGGACTGACAGTAGGGCTCAATTTTTGGAGAAATCCTTACTCTAAAACTGTTTCTAGGACTATGTGATGGCTCTTCAGGTGAAGATGTCTGTCACCAAACCTAACAACCTGAGTTCAATCCCTGGAACCACATAGCGGAAGGAGAAAACTCTGCCTTCCACATTGCTGTGACAGGCTCCTCACAACTCTATGCACACAGAATAAATAAAACATCATTTTCAGACACAGCTGTTTGGGAATGGTGATGATACTATATTAAGTCTCTCAGTACTTTTCTTTGAATTTATTGGCCCGTGTTGCAAAAAAGAATATCCCTAGAGAGTTATTCGGATTTAATTAACATTAGATTGAATAGATTCGTTAGGTTTTCAGCATGGTATTAAGCTAGAGATGGGTTTGGGGAAAAAACATTAAAGACCTAGGTCAAATGTAGGAGGCACTTGCTTGGAGAACAGGTGTCTTTTGGGAATTTTGGACAGCGAAAGCATGTGGCACTAGACACATGTCAAGGAGTCCTCCGGGGAGCATAGAAAGCAGCTTATAAAACCCCAGGACACATTTACAAAGTCACCATTTTATCTGTTAGCGGCATAAGGTCAGCAGTTAATTAGCAACTTTCAACTAAAAAAGTTATTATATAGTAGTTGCTTTAAGGAGTCTGAGCCATTCAAACCTAGAGTTCAAGGACAGCCTGAGCTACTTAGAATGTAGAATGGCCTGTTAGAAAACAAACAAACAAATAAAAAATATGTCAGTTTAAGTAACTTTAATGAAATGAAAGTGTAAATACTGAAAACAATGTTTCATTTTTTTTTATTGTAATCTCTTAACCTTTGTGTTGTAATTTTCTTTCTTTCCCTTTCTTTCTTGCTTTTTTTCTTTTCTTTTCCTAAGGAAGGGTTTCTTTGTATAACATCTCTGGCTGTCCTGAAAATTGCTTTGTAGATCAGGCTGACCTGGAACTCACTGAGATCACCCTGTATGATGGCATTTCATCCTTATGTGCCATGTCATACATTGTTCTCAATCATTCTCCTCACTGTCCTGTGTTCCCCATTAGCTATTTCCTTACCTTCCCCTTCTAGTGGTAATCCGTACATATATTTTATATTAAGATAACTTAAAAGTAACTGTAGCATATACATAAGCTACCAGCAACAGTCCTATTACTTATAAAGGCTAGGTCTCATTTGCATCCATGGATGGTCTGGAACCTCCTAGGTAGAGTAGGCTGGCCTCAAACTCATAGATCCATATGCTTCTGCCTCCTAAATATTGGGATTAAAGGCATACACAATATCTGGCTTATTTTTAAAATTGATTTTTACCCTGTCTCAAAAAACCAAAAAAAGTTATGCATTTATGTATTTTCTTTTCCAACCTTTTTCTTTTTGAAAGGGTCTCACGTAGCTCAGACTGGCTTGCAGCCTGTTACACAGTAGATGACCATTTAGTCCTCCTGCCTCTGCCTCCCAATTATTGATACTACAGGCCTACACCACATCTTTTTTATATTGTTCATTATTCTTTCTTCCCAAAATACTGAACCTTCAACCGTGTTGGTTATCAGCCAGTGGCACAGAATGTGGGGTCATATGGGGACTAGAGAATGCCTCCATCAGAGAGCATTCAAGGGCATCTTCTTGATTACTGACTGGTGTGGCAATGTGGGCGGTGCCACCCTTGAGCAGGTGGTTCTGGGTTGAATAAAACTGTAAGCAGAACAATGGGATGCAAACTAGTAAGCAGCACTTCCCTCAATGGACAGTTAGATAAAAAAATAAATAAATAAACCCTTTCCTCCCCAAGTTGTTTTTGGTCATGGTGTTTATCTGGGCAAAAGAATAAAAATTAGGATAAACCCAAATATAAAACACAAGACAACTTTTAAGACAGGGAATATTTTATTTAAAACCCATCAGTGAAATGGACGGCTTGGGTCTATGACAAGTCATTCATATTTTCAACCATAAGTCAGTAACTGTATGAAAGCACACATTGCCACATACAAATTAACTGATCAGACCACAGCTTTCTTTGTTGGAACAGAATAAACTTCCCTGTAAAAGCAGCACCTTTGTGACAATTAATTTAGTATTCCTCTCCTTCTTCCTCACCT